ACAACAAAAATCATGACTAAAGACACCAAAAACGGATCAAAATTGGGAATCGACTCACATTACTTCAATCCCATTCCCATTTTTGAGGACTTCATTTCCCATTCCCAGTGGCCAAATCCCAGTCCCAGCAACCCAAATCCCATTTTCCCAGTCTAAAAATAGGTCAATCCCAGTTCCTAGGGCCATCTATAGTAAATGTGCATGTTTAAATGCGCTTTATTACCCTCTATTAAGTCGGTTTTCCACTAGCGAATTTTTCTGCGCGAAGCGACCTTTTTCCTTTGTCGGCATCCATTTTGCAGCCCTCGAAAAGTCAAAACCGTCAAAATTGAGGTCGGCAAAAGAGGGCCGACCTAAATCTGACCTAGGTCGGCACATTTCGGCATTCGGTTTGAATTCAATTATTCAGGAGGTCAATTTTGGTTTCTTCAGTGGTTATCTTTAGCCAATCCAGTTTTGCCGACTGAGATAACAATTTGCCGCCCCTGTGTACAACCCAAGAAAACGATGGCATCGCGTGCAACAACTGCTGCAACAATTCTGGAAACGATGGAGAAAAGAATTTCTTCCGCGCCTCAACGTCAGAAGAAAATGGTTTCATCCAAAACACAATTTAAAGGAAGGAGACGTGGTGCTGATTGCAGAACCTAAGGACAACCGCGGAGAATGGCCTCTCGGTCGTGTAATGGAAACCTATCCTGGTGCAGACGGCCTTGTGAGAGCTGTGAAAGTGCAGTCAAAGAGTAAAGACTATATTAGACCTGTACATCGCCTGTGTCCCCTTATCGAAGAACAGTCGAACAGTGACGACACTAGTGCATGATAGACAGTGATCAATAGTTCACGACAACCTTATTGTATCCTATAGTTATATGCGCATACTTGGTATTGAACTGTTTGAACAGACGTTCGCAGACTTAAATTTATGTTCATGTTAACCTTATTTCGAATGCATTGCATTCGGGAGGGGGATGTTAAGGAACGAATCGTTCCCTGTAATATAAAGTAAAGACATATATAACCGCTGCGCTTGCGTAATGCGGGCGTCTTTTAGTGTTGTTTTTAAGACAACGTGTTTTGTATTATTTTAATCGAAGGAATAAAGAGCTTTATTTGACAAATATACAGAGAATTTGCCTTCTTATACAGACCATAACGACCGTTCTAACAGACGAGAACACATATGTTTGTACAAAATAAATGACTGTTTTATGTTGAAAATGGACATAATCTAAATTAATCATACAGAATTTTTAGTGACGTTCTATTTCAGTACCCTGCCATTGACCCTGGTGTGCTGTCCGTGTGCATTCGATCTGAAACAGTTGCTACTTTGTCTTTGCTGTCGAAAAATTTCGAATGTTTACATCAAAATAGAGGCAAGTCATGCATTTTACAACCTCGTAAACTGTATGAGCCCCTATTTTTACGCTTATACCTAAGATATCAAATAAAAATACATGAAACAGAGAACATTTTAAGAAAGTTTTATCGTGAGACCACGGCCAGTTTTTAAAATATCTTTATTTCTGTTCCGGTCATCACCAAAATTACACTAAAGCCGGGCTTGAATATACAACAAATTTATTAAACAAAAATATTTAACGTCTAATCAAAATATGCTCATGAAATATTAATCGAAATTAATAGCTAAATTTTCAAATTAGACCCTTCTCGAGCCGGTTTTCGTGAAGGAAGTTCACATTTCGGCCTTTGATTCTTGGCAAAAATTTGACCACAACACGTGCGAAGCAACTGGGTCTCAAATACCCAGCTAAAACATTGTGATCCCCTATTTTCCTGACGATATGTTTGATACCTACAAACGCCAAAATGTTTTTTTATTTCATTTAGCTATATTTGAAATTGAGGCCAAGGGCTATATTTGAGAAAATACAGTTCAAAGTCAAGCTATTTTTACATATTTTCAAAATTTGTCAAATTTCGCGAGCTTGTATTTTGAACTTAGACAGCTGAAGTTACATTCGGAAACATAGGATGGAAAATTTGAGGCATGTAAAGTTAATTTCAACTTACATTTCATTCTCATATCACGTCTTTCTTCGTTTATTACGGTTTTAAACAAGCCACAGATCGACGTATACGGTATTTACTCCCATGTTCATGTCGCCATATTAACTTCTTCCAATCACTCGATTACAAAACAAATCATCCCAAAACAAAGAATACATAGTCGACTTTTAAAAGAATAACCGTTAATTTGTAAATCGTTGAATGGAAAGCAAAAAATCGTCAGCTAAAACAGCTTCTTGCTAACTTTCTGCTTTGTTTTGAATGTAAATGCAATTAACTTTGTTTCTGCCCGCGATTTTTTGGTCTGCGACGACAAATTTCCCACCTGTTGCTTCGCAGATACAAAAATAAATGGGACAAATTCTGTCAATTTTGTGGGAAATTCTGTCAATTTTGCGGTGAATTTTGTTATGTTTGAAAAATTTGCATCATGTTCCTGAAAATTTTGGTATGTCCGAAAAATTTTTGGACCCCTAAAATGGTACACTGACCGAAATTTTTATGGCGACGGGGGGGGAGGTCTCCAAAATTAATTTATTCCGGAAAAAATTTTGTCGGCACTGGTCGGGGACAAACCAAAAAAGTCGGGCAAATTTCTTTCGCCCTCCTAATTTTTTCCTTCCGGTACGCCCATGCTTTCCAGATCATCTAATCTATTCGTCCCGAAAAATGGCCGCCAGCAGAAGCTTGAGCCCGCGAATTCCCGGTGTGACACTAATCCTTCAAATTTATTAATGACAGTTATAAATTGGCCAGGAACTAATAATTCCAGGGTAATCACTGGTTTCTTTCCGATCGCGTTTAGCATGTCAAACTTAATCCTCTTAATCCTAATTTTCAGACACAAATTGTCGATAGTAACCATCAGTGATGGGTTAGGGCGGACGGACGGACGAACGGACGGACGGATGACCTATTTTTCTCTAAAAAATGTTTTAAACATCATATCCGCGTTTTACCCGATCGGGTAAAACGCGGATATGGTGTAAAATATGCTTTTCGGCTCTTTAAAAGGCATATCCGCGTTTTACCCGATCAGGTAAAACGCGGATATGGTGCAAAATATACTTTTCGGCTCTTTCAAAGGCATATCCGCGTTTTACCTGATCGGGTAAAACGCGGATATGGTGTAAAATATGCTTTTCGGCCCTTTCAAAGGCATATCCGCGTTTTACCCGATCGGGTAAAACGCGGATATGGTGTAAAATATGCTTTTCGGCTCTTTCAAAGGCATATCCGCGTTTTACCCGATCGGGTAAAACGCGGATATGGTGTAAAATATACTTTTCGGCTCTTTCAAAGGCATATCCGCGTTTTACCCGATCGGGTAAAACGCGGATATGGTGTAAAATATGCTTTTCGGCTCATTAAAAGGCATATCCGCGTTTTACCCGATCGGGTAAAACGCGGATATGGTGTAAAATATGCTTTTCGGCTCTTTCAAAGGCATATCCGCGTTTTACCCGATCGGGTAAAACGCGGATATGGTGTAAAATATGCTTTTCGGCTCATTAAAAGGCATATCCGCCGCATATTAGGTTGTGTACAATTAAATCGTGTCCGATGGGCCTAAAATCGAAATAGACATATTCCATCAGAAGTGCATATCGCTGATATCGGTCAGGGCAAATTCCTTTAATTTCGACGATGTTTCATGATTTAATTGATTAATAAGTCGTGCTTCTCTCAGTATCAATTTTCTTGCTTCAAGACTCGAGTCCAGAAGTTTTTTAACTACAATATTTTCATGTTCACCCGTAGGCTCCTCCGCAGGTCACTATGATGGTATTCAAACGGCAAAATTCAGGTATATGATTGTAATAATCAATGCCGTCATGCGTTGAATCCCAGTGCCAAAATCAGGCGTATAATTTATACGGCAACACAGAAAAATACAGCCGCATATTTCAATTTATACGAAAATTCAAAACAAACTATGCCCGCACAGGATGGGCTAGTGGGGATATCCCCCATATTCCGCCTTCCCAAACTTCGAATCCCTATATAATCCCCTCTTTGGCTCTTTCAATTATGGCTGCGGCCAAAGTTTGCTTTGAATTTTCGTAATTGAAATATGGCTGTATTTTTCTGTATTGTCGTATAAATTATATACGCATTTTTGGTATTGGGATTCAACGCATTGGCCGTTTTTATACTAGAGACGTACAGACGCATAATCCGTCTTCTACATTATTCGTCTAGTATAAAGACGGGACGAATAATACTAGACGAATAATGTAGAAGACGGATTATGCGTCCAGACGCATAATGCGTCTCTAGTATAAAAACGGCCAATGCGACGAACTATCAACATTTATTGTTCGTCTGGTTATGCGTCCTCAGTATAAAGACGGGCATAAGACGCATTATGCGTCCAGACGAACTATCATCGGCTGTGCGTCTCTTTAAGACGAAGAATCGAATATAGTTCGTCTAAACGCATAATGTGTCTTGTGCCCGTCTTTATACTAAGGACGTATAACCAGACGAACAACAAATGCTTGCCCAAGTTCGTCCAGACGCATAATGCGTCTCAAGTATAAAAACGGCCATTGTCGGCATTGATTATTACAACATTATACATGAAATTTGCCTTTTGAATACCATCATAGTTGCCTGCGGAGGAGGCTAGTTCACCTGGGAGCATCGCTGTATATATAAACATAACATGAACAGCAAACCCGCCGTCACCAATTTCATCTTTATCAACCAGTGATCGATATACGAATACTGCGATAAACCTGGAACATCTATGGTTTCAAGATTTTTTGATTGATTACAATTTTTCAAACTCACAAACAACGACATTTCATTGAGCTGATTGACTACACTGAAAAAATACAGTTTGCAGCTAATTCAATTGTTGAAACTTCAAAGTTCGCTCCACTTGTACCTGTCACGGTGTCAGGAGCGGGGCGAAACATCGCAAGATATTAATATATTTTATACTAAATACGCGAGAGCATTTTACACCATATCCGCGTTTTACCCGATCGGGTAAAGCGCGGATATCCCTTTGAAAGAGCCGAAAAGCATATTTTACACCATATCCGCGTTTTACCCGTTCGGGTAAAACGCGGATATGCCTTTGAAAGAGCCGAAAAGCATATTTTACACCATATCCGCGTTTTACCCGATCGGGTAAAACGCGGATATGCCTTTTAATGAGCCGAAAAGCATATTTTACACCATATCCGCGTTTTACCCGTTCGGGTAAAACGCGGATATGCCTTCGAAAGAGCCGAAAAGCATATTTTACACCATATCCGCGTTTTACCCGTTCGGGTAAAACGCGGATATCCCTTTGAAAGAGCCGAAAAGCATATTTTACACCAT